CCGGTCGCGATTGGCGTCGTTGAGAGTTCGTGATGCCGTCAGATACAATCTCGTAATCAAGTGGGCCCAGATGTCGAATCACCCTGTACGGTCCGAAGTACTGTCGCAGAAGCTTTTCACTTAGTCCATGTTGGCGTATCGGCGTCCACCCTCAAACACGTTCACTGGGTTGGTATTCCACAAAGCGTCATCGAAGATTGTAACGGCGGCTGTTGGTCGTCTGCTGAATCTTGATACGGAGACGCGCAAGTTGTCAGGCTTCTTCGGCGCGTTGAAGGTACTCACTCACATCGAGATTTTCTTTGTCGGTGACGTTGGGTAACATGGCATCGAGCGTCGTTGCCGAGCTTCTTCCATAGACCGATTTGTATAGAGATATCTGCGTCGTCTCCGGCACCGTCATGTTGTATGCGAAGGTCGCATAAGGAAGAATGGCGTCCCACGTCTTGTGTTTGACATCAACGTACATTGCCAGCGTGTCGGCGATCGTCTTGTTTAGCCGCTCGGTGAGGCCGTTGGTCTGTGGGTGGTACGCTGTCGTCCGGCGGTGGTTCGTCTGGCTGTATGCCAAGATCGCTTAAGTTAGTTCAGCAGTAAATGCCGTTACTCTGTCGGTGATAAGGACCTCCGGGGGGCTGTGACGTAGGACGATATTTTCGATGAAGAACTTGGCTACCTCGACTGCATTGCCTTTGGGAAGGGCTTTTGTCTCGGCGTAGCGGATGAAGTAGTCGGTAGCTACCACGATCCACTTGTTTCCAAAAGCCGACGTCAGGAACGGCCCCAGTAGGTCTATACCAATCTGCTGGAATGGTTGGCGAGGTGGTTCAATTGGCTGCAGAAGTCCCGCTGGCCTTGTCGGCGATGGCAATATTCCGCGATTATTTTAATAGTGAGTGAGATTAAAACAACGGACGGAGAATGAGGAAAAATAATATAATAGATTCGTAAATTATAAGACTCTCATTTTCTTATTGTCCTATATGTCTTACTAGACTGGTGGTCTGGTACACGTGTGTATAGACAAAAAAAAAAAAACTTGGATAAAGCCCATTTATTGAGTTGAAACTATTCTACGTACCGTACACAATCGAATTCAACTTTTTTATGTTTCACTTTAAAGAAGCGTACAACCAGAACATGCTGCACTTCCAGTTGAGACATAACTGTGACCAGCAGCTTCCAGTTCAACTGATGATGGTCTCCGTTGGTGGCCAGAGGAGCTGTAACTGGGACCAGCAACTAACTGTTACCACTTGCAGCTGGGACCTACTGTCCCCATTTGATTCCTAGCTGAAACCAGTTGAGCTGTAACTGGGACTAGCTAGTAACTAGAACCACTTGCAACTGGGACCAACTTTCCCCAGTTGATTACCAGCTGAAACTTGTGGGGGTGCTGACAACCCCCCTGTAAAGTTGTCTGCGCCGCGTGGCGCACGTGTCTCGCCCCAGGGCGTTATTTCGGTGGTGACCACCACCGGGCGATAGATGGCGTTGTGTTCGCTTTGAGTACCACTGTTGGTAGAGTGGTAGCGCCGGTGGTGGCCCCTGGCGGAAGGCGGGCTTTGGTGGTGGGCGAGCGTTGAGCGAGCCTCTTCTGCGCGTGGCGGCTGCCGCGAACGGTTGTCTGTGGCGCGGGTCCCCGGTGCTCGGCACCGCGGGCTTCGCGCCGGGGTCCCGCGTGTAAAGTCAGGCGTTGGCGACGCCGCCTTGGGTATGTGCTAGTGTGTGTTTATCATGTTATTGTGTGTTTAGTGTTTCACTGTGTTATGTTGTTTGGATGGTAGCATGTTAGTTGAAATTGTTGTATCATTCGGCGAACGATATCGTCGTCTAAATTAGTTAATAAATGTATGTATGTTGTGTGCTTTGTTCCGACCGTGTTCACTGTGTCCGTCACTCCAAGAGCGTGGCGTGGCGGTGCGCGCGTTCGCCTCGCCGAGACCCCACACTGGCTGCCCAACGTGGAGCTCTTGGAGAATCGGACGACAGTTTTTGCGGTTCGGTACAGGGATTTTGTTAGAGCCGGAGTAGAGTAGGCCTAGGGGGGACTTCTTTGCTAGCGTCGGTGGTGTGCTTTGTTGAGAATCGAGGAGATTGGTTTTGTAACGTGTTTCAATTTGTCGGCAGGTTGACTTTCTATTTTTTTTTGCTCGCAAGTGTTCTTATTTTTTTTTTGTTGTTAGTTTTCAAAGACGTTGTTGAATTAGGACGAGAGCCATGCGGTCCGCATCCTGGGGTGAGCAAGGCCTAGAGCACGTGGTTTGTAGGCCAGGCCCGAAGCGAGTGAGTACGGAAGCCTCGTGGGTGGTCCGATTTTCTGTAAATAGCTTCTTCTATCTCTTTGGGCTCAGGGAGCCGGGCGTCGTTGCTGACTTGTATTGCGGCTCGACGCCGGGGCGTCGTGACACCGCCCGGGGCGGTGGACGCCGATCGCTCGGTAAGCTGCTGTGTGCGGCGAGCGATAGGGCCACCTTACAGAGTGGACGTCTCCTCGCGGCTGCCTCTTCTGCGCCTAGGCTGGGTGCTGGGTGGATGCCGGTTGTTGCCGAGTGACTCATTAGGCCTAAGGCTCTGCGCAGCCGCCTGTCGCACGTGGCACAACTAGGTGGATCGTAGTGTTGAGGGGTTGCGCTCTGCTTCCCTCACTTTTTTTTTATCTTGCGATGCAAGGGTCAGGAAAAGTGATTTTTGTTTTATTTTGATGGGCGTCTCGGCCGCCACCGATGTATTAGCTAGCAGTACTGACCACCGTACCACGTGGCCGAAAAGCCTGAAGCTCCCTCCCCTGGGCCGCGCTCCTTTGTTTCTTTCGAGTTTTGTTTTTTGTCGATGTATTCAGCGGGAGGGATGTCATCCACGGCCGGCTGTCCTGCACATCGTCAGCGTCATTGGCCAGGAATGCGGTCGTGAGGTCGGGCGATGAAGATGCCTGGGACCTGCGCAACTGCCTGCAGTCCGGCGCCCTCGCGAGTGCTGGTCGCAACTGGAAGACGTGTCGGCGCTAGCGACAGATCGTCGCGCCGATGGCAACGTTGCTGTTGCGGGGCCGGTACTGAGGTGAAGTCTAGCCGGACAGTGCAGCAGTGTCGACCGGCGGCGGTGTCGTGGTGCAAGGACATTGTGGTCGTGCGATATTATTTTTTTGTTAAAGCTTGTGTAGCTATTTTTTGATTTCGGGGTATGGTTTGATTTAAGGTTGGGGGAATGTGGGGGTGCTGACACCCCCCCTGTAAAGTTGTCTGCGCCGCGTGGCGCACGTGTCTCGCCCCAGGGCGTTATTTCGGTGGTGACCACCACCGGGCGATAGATGGCGTTGTGTTCGCTTTGAGTACCACTGTTGGTAGAGTGGTAGCGCCGGTGGTGGCCCCTGGCGGAAGGCGGGCTTTGGTGGTGGGCGAGCGTTGAGCGAGCCTCTTCTGCGCGTGGCGGCTGCCGCGAACGGTTGTCTGTGGCGCGGGTCCCCGGTGCTCGGCACCGCGGGCTTCGCGCCGGGGTCCCGCGTGTAAAGTCAGGCGTTGGCGACGCCGCCTTGGGTATGTGCTAGTGTGTGTTTATCATGTTATTGTGTGTTTAGTGTTTCACTGTGTTATGTTGTTTGGATGGTAGCATGTTAGTTGAAATTGTTGTATCATTCGGCGAACGATATCGTCGTCTAAATTAGTTAATAAATGTATGTATGTTGTGTGCTTTGTTCCGACCGTGTTCACTGTGTCCGTCACTCCAAGAGCGTGGCGTGGCGGTGCGCGCGTTCGCCTCGCCGAGACCCCACAAACTAGTTGAGCTGTAACTGGCTCAGCTACTAACTGGAACCACTTGTAACTACGACCAACTGTTTCCAGTTGATTTCTAGCTGAAACCAGTTCAGCTGTAACTGGGACCAGCTGCCAACTGGAACCACTTGCAACTGGGACCAACTGTTCTTAGTTAATTCCCAGCTGAAACCAGTTGGCCTGCAACTGTGACCAGTTGACCCCGGTCAATGCCAGTTGAAACCAGTTTTATTACCAGTTACACATTTTCACCTGGGTAAACCAAATAGGTGTATTTAAAATGGTATTTCACAAAGCAGTTTTATTGAACCACTATTCTGTTTATTTGCTACGAAAATAATTGCTAAACAAGTTGTTCGAGAATGCTGAACTGCATGACGCCATTGTTTTTGCCTCAACTGAAATAGGGAGTGGTCCTAAGATGATCGGCTCCATGATGTTTGCAATGATTCAAAATATTTCTAGGTCTTCACTAGAACCCTAAAATAATCATTTATGTCCTTAAATTGAGTGCAACTTGCTTCTCCAGTGTACTCTGGGCTGTGAAGTTAGCTGCCCAAGAGTGCTCCCTGTCGCAAAATTACCTGCTCCAAAGTGCTCCACGATGAAAATTTTTGCTGCTCCGAAATTGCTCCAAATTAGAAGTCTCTCTCGGTAGCATCACTGAGCAACATGGCTGGACATTTTTATCCTTAGCAGCTCTTCCGCCGCCTTGTATTTTGGCTCGAGACCGAGCAAGCATCCCCCTCCCAAATCCGGTTGGATTATCCTTCACCGTAAGGAGAGCACTTACCCGTCATTTTACAGTCTTCTAATCTCGGGTAACCATCACAGTGTCACTGAATGCCCTCACTTAGAGCGAGCATGCATTTACAGTCGAAGCCCTTTATAAGAGACACTGGTATAAGAGACAAATGGGTATAACAGTAGATGCTAATGTCCAGACACTGAAGTAGGGGTACAAAACAAAATGCATACCCTGTCAATAAGAAGAAACACCTCATACTATAAAAGACAAAAATAGCTCCCCGGTGCACGTCTCTGTCAAAGGGGTTCAACTGTAATTTATTGGAGCAGAGCCCCTAAGCTCATTTATTCGGCTCCCGCTTGTGGCAAGCTCTCAAGTCGCTTTCCTGTACAACTGTGCCATTATACATTTCTACAATTTGATTGTTTATCGGAGCGCAAATTTTTTCCATTAAAACAGCTGAGTCAACTTTTTTGCAGATAAACAACCCTGACATGCGAGTGAAGATCCTGAAAGACTATGTGAAGAAACACTTCCCTGCGACACCTGTGCTGGACTATGCACTCGAGGTTGAGAAGATCACCACTTCCAAGGTCAGTGCATTCCCGGTGCTCGATCAAGTGCCATCTTAATATTCAAACTGCTGCATTAGACAGTGCAGGACAGTGCATTAGACAGTGCAGGAAGAATATAGACAGTGACTGTCATTGCTGCCCCGCAACAGTCAGTACATAATGCCTGAGCAAGTCCGCGAGGCAATACTGCGCTACTCCGAGGAATGTAGATTAAATTACTAGAAAAAGATGACAACCACGCATTTTATCGAAGGAGTGAACAAACCTTTATTCTCACATTTTAAAAAAATCTGCAATTTTTTTATGCGAGTTGGCCCAGCCACGACGCATCAGCTTCGTTTCGAGAGCTGCGAAATCTGGCAGCAAGTTGCCGATCTTGAAGTCGCGCATGCAAAACATTGAATGTTGTTGACGTAATGCAACACGTTCGTGTAAGTCGGTACAGAAGCGCTTGCCTCTGCAGTATCGTCCATCTTTTTCTTTTCGGAAGTTTTCGCAGATTCGGGACGCACAGTTTCAATAATGTGATCCAATGACACTGCACTGCACACAGCGATATCATCGTCGGCACCAACACAGTCCGCGAAGGATACAGGCAGTTCCAGGCGCCCGAACTCGGGTTCGTCGTCGTCAAGCACTGCAGCTTTACTGGAACAGGTGCCACTTCTCTTAAAATCGCAATGCCTGAAGGAGTTGGCGATAGTTTCTTGCGTTACTGCGTCCCATGCACTAGTGATGTAATGCATTTCATCAAGCACTGAGATCTTCGTGGTCATCTGCTTGAGTTCCATGCCCGCTAGCCGACGCTGCACCAGAAACTTGCTGTATTTCTGCTTCATGCACTTGATGACGCCGGCGTCAAGTGGCTGCAGCTGGCTAGTGCAATTTGGGGGCAGAAATGCAACCTTTATATTCCTCAAATTTGACCTACCGTATTTACTCGTATAATCCTCGCACTTTTTTTGCCAGAAAACGGATGCAAAGTTAGGGGGTGCGAGAATTACGCGGGGAAAACTTTCTACGAAAACTCGGAAAGCGAAAAAGAAAACGAAGTGGCTGCAAATCGGAATTCTCGCAAAAGCACCTTACAGCAAGCTTTAGGAAGTACTAATTAGAACTTACCTCAACAATAAAAGCAGAGGTTCAACACAAGGCAAGATTTATTTAAGACACAAAAATGGAAGCAAATAGTCGAGAATTAGAATACCATACGCGAAGCTTGTGGACGTTGCGGGCGTAGAGGTAACGGTCGGCGCTCAACAGGAGCCCTCAAAAAATAAGCGTAAGACGTCAGTATTGGGCTGATGGCTATTTAACAGAATCGTCCGCAGTTCCTTTCTGAAGAAATAAAGTTTACCATCAATCCCAATTTTAGGCACACGGCAGGCCCAACGCGTCTTGGTGGCTTTCAGCTGCCGTCTCCAGTAGCAAACACAAAAAATCGTAGGCTCCGAAGGGCCTACCGGCGGCCCTGTTGCCGTTGTTTAGCGCATGATCTATCACTTGCAACTTGAAGCAGCCGTGTGGCTTCAGTATCGCCCCATAACGTGCCAAGATTACCGACACAACACACAAAACACGCCGCAACGCGCACTGATCACTTCGGCTTGGCTTGGGTTGGATTGGATCTCCGTGCAATACGTTTGATGCTTAAGAGATGGCGCCAGATGGTGCACGCTATCATCATTAATGGCTAGAACGAGCAGACGACATTATTGCGGCAGTTTTCGGGGGTGCGATAATTACTCGAGGAAAAAAAAATCGTATTTTTTGGGGGGGGCGATGTGGGGGGTGCGAGAATTATGCGAGTGCGAGGATTATGCGAGTAAATACGGTATTCGTTGAATCGCACGGGGCGTAGTCATGCAGAAAGAAGGATCTTTCTGTCTTTAGCTCCATTCTCGAGTTCAGCTGCAGCAGATATGCAGCAAACTTGGCTGCAAGCTTTGCGGTTAAACGTGTACTGGCATGGCAGCCTTTTCAAATTTTTGAAACATCGCGGCTTGTCAAACTTGCTGATCACGAGGGCAGGAGCTTTTCCAAGCCCTCTTCATTAGCGCAAAGCAACCCAGTAAGAAGCTCTTTGCTCCGCTCACCATCATGACAACTCTATTCTTTGAATGTCAATGTCCAATCTGGCTGCATATTGTAAATTAACCCAGTTTCATCCACATTAAATATGTCGCAGAACACTTTACTGCTGTATGAGTTCTGGCAGAAATGCGGTCCATTGTTCAACAGTGGAGGAGCTGACAGATGAGCTTTCTCTGCAGCAAAGGCTGTAAACAACCTCATTTCGTTTTTCAAAGCGATCTAACCAGCCGTTTCAGGCTTTAAAGTCGTCAATGCCGCAGCGCAATGCAATAGTACATATCTGCCTTTTCTTTCAAAATTGCGCCATCCACGGCAATAGCTCCACTGCATGCTTGACGCAACCACTCTACAATGGCCTTCTTCATGGCAGCATATTTACCATCCTTCATGGCCTTCTTGTTCAGGCCGAACTGCAACGCATTCAGCAGGATGCTGTCCTTCTTCACGAGTACCGTATTCAGCGACGATTAGGAAATGTTCAGGTCGCGGGCAGTGCTGGCCCTTGTAGCTCTGGTCTGCTCCTCTACCTCCTCAATTATGCAAAGCTTTTCTCTGAGCATCAGCGCTTTTCGGTTCTGCGGCATGGCGAGACATAGCTGTCACGATCAAGAGTACAGACATTAATGTCAGAATGCACAAATGTGACACGTGGACACTGCAGCTGTGTTGCACAATCTATAAACGAGACACACAGGTGAACGAATGGCTGAATGGCAGTGGGCCTATTCAATTTTAGCAAGTGCATACCTCAGTGCAAGCTTTGACCAATCGTGTTTGGTTAAAACGCCCCAGGCCTCTAGTAGCTAAACACCGTGACTTGACAGCAGTTATAAACCCGGTTCCCGTAGCTATCAACAACCGCTGTTCAACACGTTTGGTGCAACGACACGAAATCTAGTGAAAGGTATTACGCACTCTAAAGCGATCTCGAAATTATCTGCCATGTTACCTGCTCAATCACTCCTCAACCACCCAAAAAAGGGGAAAAGAAAAAAAAAACAACACAAAATAAGGCTGCAACGGAAGTGCGCACTGCAATTCCATAAAAGGAATGCGCTTCGGCTGGCTCCGGCTAGCTAACCTAGGCCAACCGCATTGGGTGTCGAAAAATTGAAGCGGCTCTGTGAATGCAGCTCGGAAAGAGTTGGAATGAATGAAGAAATGAGGTCAGTTTCTCGAATTTTTTAATTTGGCCGTGCTGCCAGAGTGGGCCTGCGTGCCAGCCTGCGTCGTCGTCTCTCTTTTTTTTTTTTCTCGCTCAGTCCAGGGAAGCGTCATACGAGATGGGGCCGGCCTAAAATTGCATTGTACAATTGATGTTTTTAATGCATTGCTTCCATGGAAAGTTTTGACGAGACCAAGGCAACTCATTGTTAAACACGGGTTGTCGCAAGACTTGGGGACACATAATCGAAGTGCCACGGTATATTTAAATAGAATCTGGTGAGTGTGGGAGAAGACAAGAGAAGTGTAAAATGTTAAAAAAGAAGAAAAAGGAGGAGGACCAAGCGTGAACTCAAAAAATTAGGAGGCCCAAGCCAATTGATGCCAGCCCAGACGGTGATACACAAGAAACTGGAAGGAAAAGACAAGGAAGATTTAGGTTTAGCGTGGAATAAGTTACTGACAGAACTCCGAAAGAGTGCGCTCGTCCAACACTAGAGTACCAAGTCAAGCAACACTGCGTTCCGCAAACTTGTGGACAATACCACGGCAGATGCAATCATAGCATGAAACGACTTACCGTATTTACTCGATTGTACCGCGCCCTCGATTGTAACGCGCACCCGATTTCCACCGCGGAAAAAAAAAAAAATGTAAGACATCGATTGCAACGCGCACCCATTTTTCTCGCTGGCCCGCACGATCACACCACTCGAAAAAACGACTCCTTTCGGGAGCGTCTTCCATTTAAATATGAGGTACGGGCGAAGCTTGTGCCCATCTGACGTGTAACAGAGCATTGCCGTCACTGTAGTTTTACCGTGGACCGATGTCAGCACGCGAACTTGCTTCGCCCCCTTCTTCTCGATGGTTGTGGTGCCAGGCATGTCCAAGTAAAGAGGCGTCTGATCGGCATTCCCGATTTGCCCAAGCAGGTAGCCGTTGTTGCGCCGCAAGTTTAGGACGAACCTATGAAAACTGTGAAGCTTTTCATCGTACTCCACTGCAAAATTTTTCGCATATGCATGTTCCCCTTCGGAGGGAAAAGCGTTTCCTCTTCATAAAGTTAGTTAGCCAGCACCTGCTCGCTTTAAACTGGCTCCGCATTAGACCTTTTTCTAAGACTAATTGCATAGCCCGCACTTGGAGCAGTTCTGTCTTCACGGGCCGCTCGCTGCTCAAGCACATACTCGCTGAGCAGCCCTTTAATTTGCGGAAACCGACCCTGCTGTGGTCCACTGAAGCCTTTGCGTGAAGCTTTGCTGTCGACAATCTTCTGCTTTTGTTTCCGCCGGTCCCGCACGCACGTTTCGGGAACTCCGAACGACCGCGATGCGGCCCGATTTCCGTCCGTTTCTGCACACGCGATGACTTTTCTTTTAAAAGCGGCATCGTGGTGCACTCGAGTTTTTGGAGTCGGCCCTTCCACGCCGTCGATGCTAATGCACTACTAGATGACTAACTCTTCAGCACACGTACGAAGTGCCGCACATGGGAAACACATAGGCAGAAATGGCCGACGCGCCATGCCGACGCACGTAGGGGGCGGCCATTTTGGATTTGCCGATGGCAATAGATTGACCGTAATTTTTTTGTTCGTACTCGATTCTAACGCGCATGCGATTTATGAACTCGCTTAACCGGAAAAAAGGTGCGCGTTAGATTCGAGTAATTACGGTACTCGCCGAGCAGCTCTTTATTTGCGGAAACCGACCCTGCTGTGGTCCATTGAAGCCTTTGCGTGAAGCTTTGCTGTCGACAATCTTCTGCTTTTGTTTCCGCCGTCCCGCACGCACGTTTCGGGAACTCCGAACGACCGCGATGCGGCCCGATTTCCGTCCGTTTCTGCACACGCGATGACTTTTCTTTTAAAAGCGGCATCGTGGTGCATTCGAGTTTTTGGAGTCGGCCCTTCCACGCCGTCGATGCTAATGCACTACTAGATGACGAACTCCTCAGCACACGTACGAAGTGCCGCACACGGGAAACACATAGGCAGAAATGGCCAACGCGCCATGCCGATGCACGTACGGGGCGGCCATTTTGGATTTGCCGATGGCAATAGATTGACCGTAATTTTTTTGTTCGTACTCGATTCTAACGCGCATGCGATTTATGAACTCGCTTAACCGGAAAAAAGGTGCGCGTTAGATTCGAGTAATTACGGTACTCGCCGAGCAGCTCTTTATTTGCGGAAACCGACCCTGCTGTGGTCCATTGAAGCCTTTGCGTGAAGCTTTGCTGTCGACAATCTTCTGCTTTTGTTTCCGCCTGTCCCGCACGCACGTTTCGGGAACGACCGCGATGCGGCCCGATTTCCGTCCGTTTCTGCACATGCGATGACTTTTCTTTTAAAAGCGGCATCGTGGTGCACTCGAGTTTTTGGAGTCGGCCCTTCCACGCCGTCGATGCTAATGCACTACTAGATGACAAACTCTTCAGCACACGTACGAAGTGCCGCACATGGGAAACACATAGGCAGAAATGGCCGACGCGCCATGCCGACGCACGTAGGGGGCGGCCATTTTGGATTTGCCGATGGCAATAGATTGACCGTAATTTTTTTTGTTCGTACTCGATTCTAACGCGCATGCGACTTATGAACTCGCTTAACCGGAAAAAAGGTGCGCGTTAGATTCGAGTAATTACGGTAGTTTTGAAGGCACGTGTGCAGCCAACGCACATGGATTGAAAACAGAACTACAGTTTCCCACAACCACCGTGCACAAAACTGCGGTTGCGGTGACGCGATAGCGATCTACGAGCTCCAAGGGCACTTGTCTAACACAGCGGTACAATAAAGGCAGTAAAGACGCAAAAAAAGGGGGGGGGGGGGGGGCATAAAGTGTTTTGGAGTTTCTGTACAATGAACCTAGCTACGAGCAAGGCCATAGCTTTGACCCACGTTTTTGCAGCAGCCAGCTGCGCCGGTGCCGTTCGTTCACGTGTGTCTCGGGAAGACATATGCGAGTCATTTTGATGGAAATAAATTTTGTTAGTTGTTTGGTGGCACAAAATTTCGGACGTATTTGCACTCCCCCTTTGAGAGACTCACCTTAGTGGGAAATCTACCTTGTGTGTTCGATCACTCTAAGGAACCATAAGACCACAACGCCAATGTTGGTGCTTGTGATCGAGACCATACCCCTCTCCCTCTTTTTTTGCAATGTTTTTTCTTGTTTGTTTTGGTGCCAGGAAAATTGGTGAAAAATAATCCACCACATCACCTCCCCCTTTCAATTGCGAAAATCTCTCGGATTCAGAATCCTTGAACTTGGCAGGTATGCAAATGTGGTGTTTTCACATTTCGAAAATGAGACTACAATCTCTCAAGGTTGAAACGCCCTCATATGCATCTATCCATCTATCCTCACGTGCGTTCACCACGCTACCGTGGCTGCGAGTACGCTTCGATTAAGGAAAATGTGCGTGCTTGTGCAGTGCTTGTCAGATTACCTTTCGATTACACTATAAACCACGTATATAACGCAAGTCCCCAAAGAAACTCATATATGCCATATGAGCGAAACACCATTCTCCAGAGACGGCAATTGTGCTAGGTTTGTTGGACCGGCCGCTATGCCATTCAACAATTTAGTCGTGCGGCAGAGAAGTAATTTCTTACCTTCTAAAATTTGCACAAGTTAAAAAACAAGTTCCCGTTCGCAGACCTGCTGTGCCGACAAAACGAAACCAGAAAAATAAGCACTGCTGCAGACAGTCGCTGACTAACTTTCGAGAGCTTTTCGTTTATACACCAAATTTTTCTGCGTAACAGCAACAAAATTTCCGCTTTCCTGAGGCGCAATATCCGGAGCATTGGCAACCGCGAACCTCAAATTGAATGTTGCACGTGCACCTTGCATGCCCTCGTTTTTGTAAACTATTGGTAAACATAATGTAAAAGTTGTTTTCATATATCTCCCTCTTTCAAAATGTACCTACTGCAAAGCATTTCGTTGTCTCTGCACCAAACCGGACATCCGCAGCTGTTATCGATGGGACGGTTATGCGGTTAGCACTCGTTAGGTCTAGCCTGCGGACTTGCATTTCAATTGGTGTGGCACTCCCCCTCCGGAAATTTGCCCTAGAAAGCACGAGATTGGGGACAAATGAGGATCGCACTCGCGAGCTTAGCTGAAGGCTGCACGTGTGAAACCAAGTTTGGGTACAGGGTCGGGAGAACAGCTGCGTCAATGAAAGCCCGCCTGCTTGTGGGAATGGCGAGAGTGCCCAAATCGTAGTTTTTCATTTGCGCAACAGTGCCTTCACTGTGTACTGAATTCAGGTAACACACTTGAAATTGCACTATATGGCCGGGCATTTTTTGACATGAACGGCTGTTCAGCATGGAGCATGTGAAACGCGCGGCAAGTGACCAAAGGAAAGCCTTTTTCGATGCCTAGACAACCCGTCCTCACGCAGCGCGCCTGGAAAGCATTTTTTTTAAGAGTGAAGCTTGACAAAACGTTGGGTGTCTGCAAAAAGAAACTTCGAGTCGTTGCTTATGCCAGCAGTGGTTGCTAGACGGGGCCATATCACAGCTGCGCTGGCTGTTCACCACCAACTCCACCCTGCTGAGCATGCACTGAAGAGCAGCCGCTGCCGCCAATCCACGCCCATCAGAGGAGACGGTTCGGACAGTCACTGCACTGGGCTTACTTGTCGTGGCGCTAGAAGAGTACCAGCGACAATAGGCCCTCGCCAGATTTGCTTGTTAGTTCTGTCACTGAAGTTTAGACTTTCTTGCATGGTTGACAGGCTGTGGTTCCACTATGCCTACACTAAGTGAAGACATAGCACCAGCCAAGAGGCCACGTAAAGCACCTAAGGTCAACCAGCTTCGCTATTACTTAAGCTTTACGTTGCTAACTTTCTTCCTTTTGATTTATTCCTTCAGTTCTTTTCCCACACACCATTCTTTGTTAGTTTGTTCCACGTCCCCTCCTTCGTAGCACCTTCGTTTCTGCCTCTCCTCTGCTGGCGTACCTCTGTTGAGAAGCGCAGTCTCATTACCTCGCTTATCTGAGCCACATTGCAACTAGTCTCTTGTCTTGAGGGCTGCGCAATAAGCGGTGTGTGCATACATGAATTTTCATGGGATTATGAATGGTAGTAAGAAAAGTTTGCACAATACGCGGTTACGCTTTATTCGGCTGTTTTAGTTGTCACAGATTGTTTTTTCACTCAGCATTGACCCTTTAGCGTCTCAACAGTCTTATTCCCTAGTTTTGTTTGTGCTCTTATTTGCTTGTTTTTTTTTTTTTTGCCTGGTCTAAAATGCACTTTCGGTGACTCTAAAATACTTTTTGTTTTCTCTAAATTACAGTTATTGCTGCATCAAAAGCCCTTTTCTAAGCTCCAAAAGGCGCTTCTCGCAGCTCCGAAAACCTGCTCTAAAATGGCCTCGGCCAATAACATCACTGAATATATTTCACAGGTTATCACGTGACTTCTCCCAAAAGTCAAATCAGGCTACTATTTAAAGTAGGTTGCCCCCACTTTTTTTTAACAAAAAAAAAAGGCATTTGCAGAGGCTTTTAGTTTATAAAAATATTGTCCAGGTTAGTTAGATCATGGCAAATATGCCCATTTTTCTTTATACTATGTGATGTATAATGTTTGAATCTGATTCGAAATTATTTGAACTATATCGCTATTTGCATCAAACCTAATATTCACTATTCGCACAAGCCTGCTATAATGGTAAAATTGCCTTCGTTGCACATAGATGTACAGAGAATTCAGTCACATTTCATTGAGTAGGGTTATAAAGCCAACTTATTGGAAATGTGATAAAATAAAGTTTTGAGAATAATTCATTTAAAGATGAATGGTATTGTGTTCATAAAGTCATGGCTCATGTTTCATCTAAATGTGTGAAAATACATAATCGCTGAAGCAACAATAAAGTGGTGGCAACACGGTAACTTGGAATGGACGCCTTGTTTGTGGATGAATGCAGAAGCCAAACCTCATCCTTAATGTGGATGGCCTAATTGGAGTGGCAGTCGTTGACCTCCTGCGGAGCAGTGGCTGCTTCACGCCGGAGGAAGCTCAGGACTACATTGAGATGGGCGCCCTCAACGGACTCTTCGTGCTTGGCCGCACCATTGGATTCATTGGTGAGTGGGAACAGTGTGTTGTAGGACTTCAAAATCTAAAAAGCTATAGTACATGACAACTTTTCTTGATACTCGTATTGCTCTACAAGTAGCACAACAGCTTGTAGTTGTTTTTGGTTTTGCACACTGTCGCGGATGCCATGTTTTCTTGGAAAATAGATGGGCTGAAAAAGTGGTGCTGTCTAAAAAATGAAAAGAATATGAAAGCATTCTTGCAAGGTGCACAATAGCTCTTTTTTACCTACAATTTGTTTAAATTGTTTTATTTTCATAAGAAATAAAGCTGCATTTGTTTCACCAAGGCAAATGAGAAAATTATCGTTAAACTTCAGTACTACTTTTTTGGTGCGGTAGCAGCCATGTGGTTTGGTTCTGTAGCGTGCACATTGCTGTCAAGAAAGGCTTTATGTAGTATGTTATGGGGGGATGTACCTTTTGGAACGAACTTTCTTTTTTCTCGTCAGACCTGATGAAAATTGGCACAGAGACTAAGAATGACCTCAATATGCTTTCATAAAAATTTCAAGATATCACAAAAACTTCCTGAAAAACAAATAATTTTATTACTGGGGTAGTTAAAAAAAATAACATGAGTATGTAAACAATGTGTGCAGAGGCGAATGTATGCTGAAGGGGGCTGCGTTTTCAAAATAAATTTTTTTGCAACACTAAAAATTGTAGTTCATGTTTTCTCTACTGATACTTCAATGAGCACATTTGCACTACAAGCAAGAAACCCTACCAAAAGTTTTTAAAAAGCTAAATTGAAAAATAAAAACGCAACCCCCTGAAGCACAGTTCAAGGATCATTACAAAAACAGACTGAACAAAAATCTGTGAAGTAGTTGCGAAGATATCTGCTCCACGAGCTCAGCTACATGCCAAAGAAACGGTATTGAGAAAATAAGGTTCAAGCTTTTGTGTCACGTTTACATGCTTAATGCACGATGGTTGTAGCCCTTAGTGTCCTTCGCAGTTCGGCGTCGCTTGGCCTTCTGACCTTTTGCCTGATGAGCTTTCCCAGCCTTTTTTTTTTCCGCATTATATCTTTTTCAGCTGCTCCATGCATGGTGTCCAGGTTGGAGACCAAGAGATATCCATAGTTGAGTGTAGGCATGGAGTTCCCAGCATTATACCAGCAGATTGCTTCACTGACAGCAGTTTCTGCAGCTATCAATGAGGCATTCTCGTCTTTTGGCAGGATCGACCAAATAATTGAGTGCAGGCTTTCAGTGCAGCAGCATTTTGAGTTTTTTTACCCTGGCACCGCTCAAGAAGCTGTGGTCCGAAAGTCGCTGGTACACAGGCAGCAGGGCAGGAGCAACGTGTCGTCCCAGGTGGTACTTTTGGGGTGGCTGTGGTTTACCTATAGCTTCTGCAGCCCGGTGTCTGCACCAGCTATCAGGACCTGGGAGGCAAAGTTCGTGGTGTGGATCCTGTCAGTCCAAGTGGTGTGGTGGAACATAGCCATGATTGCTCTCTGCATATCCTCCACTTCATCATGCTGCCTAAGGGTTTGGCCATAGTAGTCAGTCAGTTGATTAAATTTTGATTGATTGTGTATTGATTAAATTTTGTGTAAGGCCACCTTTTCCGCCAATAGGTTGGTCTTTCTTGCTTTTTGTGACGATGGTCCGCAGGGCTGTGCCAATCCTTCTTTTAACATGATTGATGCAATCTTCTTTCTTCAGGGATAAGAAACCATTAGTCTGGTCTGACACAGAGCTAAGAAAGTGTGGCTGTCGTCATCGCAAACAATAGTTGTGTAGAGCAGGTCTTTTTTTTTTTTTTTTAGTGAGTGCCGAAACAGTATGAGGGCTGCTTCGACTTCCATTTGGCCTGAGTTTGCCTCTGTGTTTTTCTGGCAAACATGCGCTTCCTTCCACTCAGTGTAGCCGTCGTCACTTTCTTTGGGGCCCACAGCACATCTATGACAGTAATCTAACAGGACAACAGTGACAAGCACTAGTCCAGTGTAAAACTCAATGACCGCGCCCACGCCTATGTAAGACTCGTGGCCGCGTGTCATCCACGTCGCGCCGTACATTACCGTGACATTCTTGGTGGGTGTTCCCTCCATTTGGTTGTACACATCGCGAACGGCTGCAACAGCGTCGGAAAACACATTTTCTGCGGCTGCTGGGCCAGCAGGCAGAAATTTCCGCTTGAGATGCCTTTGAAAAGTCTTGTGGTGAATTCCCCTATGTGATACATTCATCACTGACCGAAAATTTCTGAGCGCATCTGGTTCCTTTCTAGTAGTTTTTATAGCTTGCATGGCCCAATTATTCACTTCAAGTGACTTGCTGTTTTTCACTTGCGGTGATGACCACGCATTTTCCCCGTCCACGCCGCAAGCAGTGCAGGTGAGCACCATCTTTACTGCTAACCCGTGCTTAGTTCCGTGCTTCATCTTGAGTCCCGGCTCTTTGCACTGCGGGCACAGGGCACTGCGGGCACAGGGCACTGCCTAACAGACCATTCAGGGCCACATTAAAGCGCGATTAAAAACTCATCTTCGTCTTCTGTTTCGATGTCACTTTCATTTCCTTTGTCCATCAGTAACATCTCGCGCTCCATCACAGACACTGCTCTTGGAGACTCCTGAACAGCCACGGCGCGTTCGCGAGATGCCTCCGCTGACGTGAAACCACGCTCTAATCGGGGCCCGAATGGTGCTATTGGTAGTGCTGGTAGACGACTTCGCATCCTCGCGTGAAATACTTGGCTGAACATCCACGATGTCTAAATCTTTGCACAAAGTGCTTGGCTGAGCATTCACGATGTCTACATTCTCGCACTGAAGTGCTTGGCTGATCATCCGCAACGATGCACTCTCGCGCGAAGTGCTAGGCTGAGCATCCGTAATGTCTGCAGCCTGCGCGGAACAACAAACGGATGTTTCCTTTGACAGCACAAAGCACTGCTCCAATGGCATATCAACAGTTTCGTCGATACTCGTGGACGATGCTTCGTACGTGCTTGTTCTTGGCTGCGAGTCCTCGTCGTGCCGCATGCCATCGGCGGCTTCGGCTTATGAGCACCAAATCGCTGCGCAGTCTAGCATTTCTTGAACGATCGCCGGTCCGTGATCGCATGTGGGAACCGATTTCAAAACTGCGATTTGCCAAACTGGACGTTTTTCTCTCACGAGCGCCAATCTTATCTCAGCGCGATGCGATCTCAAGACCAAGCCGCAACAAGTTGCAAACACTCGCAGTAAGCAGCCCGTCAGCACTATCAGTGCATAGAGCAGACAACCTTTGCGCCGATTTTTACAAGCGACTGCAGGGGTGACCAATGGGGAGCCGCCGCACAGTCGCGTAACACGTGTCACCAATCGGAAACTGTCGTGATACTTTCAAACTTTGGCTTGCTGTGCACTTGCTCTTTCCTGGTTCAGCCGGCTGTGGTGCCAAATTTGAAATGGAAGAATCCCGCTAGCCATAAAGACAAAGATGGCGGCGCTAGGTTTCTACGTTGTTTCTAGGGATGAAACTTCGAAATTAGATATAAAAGAGGTCACAGAATGTGAAAATGAGGTTTTAAAAGAATCAATTTTTTGGCTATATGTCGCGATGCCAAAGCCACCCCCCCCCCCCCCCCCCCCTTAAATGTAGTAAAGTTGCATGTAGTATGTTACTGTGCCTGATGAACAAGCATTCGTACGCACAAATGAGTTCTTTGGCTTGCTGTAAGTAGTCTGCTACTGTTTAGGCGAACCACAATTACTTTGTTACACTGTGTATAATATTCAGAATCCCCGCTTTATTTCATGGTTGTTGCAAAGAAAAATGGAATTCGCATTGAGAAGCAGCCCTGCCTTCGGGGAAACTAGTGGAACTGGCAAACCATGCTGAGTCGTGTGCATGTTTGCAGCTTGTCTCTCACAGGGTGCGTACAGAACCACCACCACTGCATTAAAAAAGCCTCACCTGTTTGCCATTGTATACACCTATTGCTATTGCTCTCACCTAACACCGTTTCGAAGATGTCTTATTCGAAAATGGAGGAGGAGGAATCATGATGCCTCCTGTTAAAACTACACGAGTCTAAAGTTAGATTCTTAGCATCACTGTCGAGGTTTCCTAAGGCCAGAAAGTTCTATAACTACTGCCGCATAAGGAGTTCCCTCTGCTCGCTTGCGATGGCCACGTGGGCAGCACCTGGCCATATCTGTGAGTAGAAAGTTGCAGTGTCATTCACTACTAGCACTATATTTTAGCACATTGCAGGTGAACAGGCATTGGCCAAGACCGCAAAAAAATTCGTGTGCGCCACGCTTATATCGCTGACATTTTACTTCAACAAAGTTTCGATGTGCCTAAAGAGAGGAAGTCCGAGACAACAAATTTAAATTTCGCTGGTGCAACTGGCCAAATGGTTTAATTACACATGGTTCTTGCAAATTATTTTTTAAATTGTCCACTCAAGTGAAGTAGTGTCTTTTCTTGCTTGCAGCTAGGAGGAAAAAGTTGCACCTGCATGTGCTTCTCACTTGTGGAACGTGTGAATGAAACATGTGGAATGCCTGAATCATTGTATCCCACACTACTCTACACAGCACTGGCTTGCAGCATTCCATGTGTACTTCCTTTTCCATGTTAGTGCCTGTAAATTTTCGGGTAGAATGTGCAGTTATTTGGGGAATTTCACTGGAAATTCACACTGCTTCTAATCCATCAGGACACTACCTGGACCAGAAGCGGCTGAGGCAGGGCCTGTACCGCCACCCGTGGGACGACATCTCGTACGTGCTTCCCGAGACAGAAGGCTATGACCAAAACTGAGGCAACGTTACAGAGCAGCGCGTTGGGCGCCCCAGCGGATGCCTATTTATTTGCACTCCCATCCTTTGGTGTTGTGCCTCCCCTCGCGGACTGTGCCACCACTGCCTCGGTTACAAGAACTGTTGTTGGTACTTTGCCATTGGGACAACCCATTGCGTGTTGTGCACTAGCCATCGTGTCCTACTTGTGCCCGTACTTGCAAATCAACCTCTGGTTTTTCCGCTCATCCGGTCACATGAGAGCAGGCAAGAATTGGGAGTGGAAGATCGAGCCGAATGACATGCTCGGTGTTTGCGTTTTGTTCTTTTCATTGAGATCATACTTTTTTCTTTAGTATGTCTAACAATTTCATTCTCTATTTTGCGTTTCTCATTGGTTTCTATGAATAACACCTCTGCCGACTTCATTGCCCAGCAAAACCACGCACACGCACACACACACACACACACACACACACACACACACACACACACACACACACACACACACACACACACACACACACACACATATATATGAAGGAAGCATGTCTTTACTGGCTCTTTTACTTCATAGTTTTTCTGATTTCGATGCATCGAACACAGAGTTTTTCGCGAACCGTTTACTTTGTTTGTGCTGATGATTTGCCCGGATGATGGCTTTTGTTTTTCTGGACGATCGTAATGCTGTTGTTAACATTGGCCTTTCTGATGCCACTAGGCGATTTACCCAAGGTGCTTGCCTCTTCAACTCGACTGCTCTCAAGTCCCACACCACCTCAACATTCCAAACATAATGAGAGGGGGGAAGCCATTTCGTTTGCACGAAGTGTCTTGTCAAATGTAATTTCTATTTTTGCCCCCATGTCAACTGAAGGCAACAGCCAGTATCAGAGCCCATTCTCTCAGCTCTGTGAAGATTATTTTTTATTTTTGTTACAAATTATACGAGCATTTTATAAATCTTTGTTGCATCACTGTGATCTTTTGCGCGTGGAATGGCAGCAAATTGTTTTCCAGGAAGTTGGTGCCACGCTGTGGTTTAGTGCGGAATTTCAGGTATATAGATGCACACAGCCCACTGATTTGATTCAAGCATAAGCAGGCAGCTCAAAACTGATGGCCTGACTGCAGAGGCTGGTTGTGCTACACAAGGTGCACTCTTGGTGCTCTTCCACAGACTGGGGGCCTTGCTAGGTTTCAAAATGCGATGACAATCAAGCGTCTCTGTCACGCAGCTTATTTTTGTGTGATCAACGCGCCTGTCCCCTTGCCACTTACTGGCTGTACTGTGGCGTAGTTGTGTACACTAAATATTCCCACCTGGGTCTGAAGCCAAACTACTCTTGGCTCAAGTGCGACATCTTACCAACTAGTCCCGGTACCCAAGACTGTAGGCCTTGCTCTAGAGAAGAGCCCAGGAAGCCAATACTCTGAAGGCACTCTTGCATTGTTTCCTTACTTAACGGTGTCAGTCAGCATGCCATTCAGAATACACAGTTGCTGACAACTGTAGATATAATGTGCTTTTGCCTCACTGTTGCGTGCAGTGGCAGAATAGTTGGTAAGTAGGGCTACTGGTGTGTATGTAGAGCGTGGAACCTCTTGTAAGGGCTTGCAGCTACCGTCTTAGGCAGTGCAGCCTCATTGTTTGTTCTGTTGCTGTTGGTGATAGTGTGCAGTTCTCGTGGCATTCAATAAAGTTATTTGTGGATGTCTGAATGGTGTTGAATCACTGTCGACACTTACTACTTCGTGAACGACTTGGTATAAGTCGGCAAAAGTCTCCAATACTCATCTGTGCTCAAGTTGCCTTGATTAAATTGGCATGTGCTAATCTATGCACGCTAGACCTGTACACCCGGTGCCTATCTGCTAGCAGGAAAGTTTTTTCACTGGGACGATAACACAAGTGACTAGTTTCGCCAACTTCTTTGTACATGTATGAATGTAAATCACCCTAACACTATTGCTCCTCCTTAATTTGAACTGCGCATAATGTTTTTTGTTCTACATTGACTGCTTTGCTGCCAATGTTAAGAGGTCTTACAAGGCAGACAGTTCACTTTAAAACTTTTTTAATATATTCTCTATTGATAACGCTATCGAAGATGAAGGCAAAGACTGCATGACATCGTTCCTTGATGTTGCGCGGCCTTGTCTCCATCTTCATTCTCTGGCTCAGAGTCTCCAACGCCTTTTCTCCTCATGAAAATATTGATAAAACTTGCAGTTTGTTTATGCTGTTATTTTTCTTGCTCAATCTGTCGTTTTAAATTGTCAGACATTTTGTGTGCTTTTTGCGAAAATGACATATTGTTGCACTACTCTTCAGCTAGAAAACTGGGAGCAAAGGACATTTTCACACAAAGCATTGACGGAAACCATATAGTGGTGTGCTCACCTTGGTACTAATGATTCTCTGAAATGCATCTCTTGTATGTTGCAGTGAAGCCAGCAGAGGAAAATGGGCAAGTTAAGTTAGCACGCTCCGAACACTACAGGAATACTTTTGAGTGAGCTCGAGTGCGTCACCTTTAGAGCTTAGCTTAACAGCAATTTCTGCGGACGGCTTTCAGTGGCACAAAAGCATCATCATCATCATCATCAGCCTGACTACGTCCACTGCAGGACAAAGACCTCTCCCATGTTCCACCAGTTAACCCGGTCCTGTGCTTGCTGCTGCCAATTTATACCCGCAAACTTCTTAATCTCATCTGCCCTCCTAACCTTCTGTCTCCCCCTAACCCGCTTGCCTTCTCTGGGAATCCAGTTAGTTACCCTTAACGACCAGCGGTTATCCTGTCTACGCGCTACATGCCCGGCCCATGTCCATTTCTTCTTCTTGATTTCAGCTATGATATCCTTAACCCCCGTTTGTTCCCTAATCCACTCTGCTCTCTTCTTGTCTCTTAAGGTTACACCTACCATTTTTCTTTCCATTGCTCGCTGCGTCGTCCTCAATTTAAGCTGAACCCTCTTTGTAAGTCTCCAGGTTTCTCCTCCATAGCTAAGTACTGGCAAGATACAGCTGTTATATACTTTCCTCTTGAGGGATAGTGGCAATCTACCTGTCATAATTTGAGAGTGCTTGCCAAATGTGCTCCACACCATTCTTATTCTTCTAGTTACTTCAATCTCGTGGTTCGGCTCCGCGGTTATTACCTGCCCTAAGTAGACATAGTCTTTTACAACTTGAAGTGCACTATTACCTATCTCGAAGCGCTGCTCCTTGCCGAGGTTGTTGTACATTACTTTCGTTTTCTGCAGAATAATTTTAAGACCCACCTTTCTGCTCTCCTTGTCTAACTCCGTAATCATGAGTTGCAATTCGTCCCCTGAGTTACTCAGCAATGCAGTGTCATCGGCGAAGCGCAGGTTACTAAGGTACTCTCCATTAACTCTTATCCCTAACTGTTCCCATTCTACGCTTCTGAAAACCTCCTGTAAGAACGCGGTAAATAGCATTGGGGAGATTGTGTCCCCCTGCCTTACACCATTCTCGATTGGTATTCTGTTGCATTCTTTATGAAGCACTATGGTAGCAGTTGATCCCCTGTAGATTTCTTCCAGGAATGTTTATATATACTTCATCGACGCCCTGATTCCGCAGTGTCTGCATGACGGCTGATATTTCTACTGAATCAAACGCCTTCTCGTAATCTATGAAGGCTATGTGTAGTGGTTGGTTATATTCTGAGCATTTCTCTATTACCTGATTGATAGTATGAATGTGGTCGATTGTTGAGTAGCCTGTTCGAAGTCCTCCTTGTTCCTTTGGTTGATTGAATTCTAATGTTTTCTTTACTCTGTTTGTAATTACCTTTGTAAACAGCTTGTATACTACAGAGAGCAAGCTAATCGGCCTGTAATTCTTGAAGTCCTTGTCATCTCCTTTCTTATGTATTAAGATGATGTTAGTGTTCTTCCAAGACTCTGGTACTCTTCCTGTCAGGAGACACCTCGTGAACAGGGTGGCTAGTTTTTCTAACACAATCTGTCCTCCATCTTTCAGCAGATCTGATGTTACCTGATCCTCACCAGCAGCTTTGCCTCTTTGCATGCTCTCCAAAGCTTTTCTGACTTCTATCATTACTGGTGGGGTGTCATCTGGGTTACTGCTAGTTCTTATAGTATTAAAGTCGTGGTTGTCCCGGCTACTGTACAGATCTCTCTAAAACTCCTCCGCTATTTTAACTATCCTATCCATATTGGTAGTTATTTTGCCTTCTTTGTCCCTTAGTGCATACATCCGATTGTGCAGTGGAAGTTGGAGGCAGGGTAGTTAGACAGGACACTGGCAAGCTTACCCAGGAAACGAAGAATCTCGTTGAGAAGGGTCAAATCATGAAAGTCTCAAGTACAACAGACAAAATAGAACTGGCAGAGCTTTCGAAGTTGATTAATAGGCGTAAGGTATCCGATGTAAGAAGGTATAACATGGAGAGAATTGAACACGCTCTGAAAAGCGGAGAAAGCGTCAAAGCAGTGAAGAGGAAACTTGGGATAGGCACAAAAGCATTACATCACAAATATTGTGTTCCTTTCATGGTAGGAACGAGTGGGGAACAAAAACTTTTCATCGGAAATGAGGCCGAAAGACTTTATTCTTCCGAAAGCCGTAGCATGCGCAAGCTCTTGTGCACCATCTCAGAGTTGGAGCGCGTAGAGCACGCTCCGTAATCACGCACTGGAAGTCGCATTATAACCGTTAAGTTTACAGAAGCACACTCTGCCAGTTGTAGCATGCTGAGAAGCTTCTCAACTCGGCGCACCCACTGTTTTCTGGGAATAGCGTTGCTGGCTTGTTCCCGTCCGTCTTTTTGTTAACGCTGCATTCTCTTTGCATGTGAATAAAAATATGCATTTAAAGCTTATGGACTTCCTGTTGCACAGCTTTAAAGATAAATTCGAAAGGGTTTGAAAGGCGAAACTTAAGGGTCTCCCAATTTTTTTTTTTCTTCAGCTAAAAACTAGCTTCGCATACCTAAACAGGCTGGATTACCACTGGTTGAAACATTTTTCAAACGTTGATTTTTCTTGTGCAGTTAAACCCTTTTACAATAGGTACTCGGGTAAGACACCATTGGTTATAAGTATTTCCGATGGAGGCGGAAATGTTGTAGGCCCGTGTACTCGGATTTGGGTGCACGTTAAAGAACCCTAGGTGGTCGAAATTTCCGGAGCCCTTCACTACGGCGTCTCTCGTAATCATCAGTGGTTTTGGGACGTTAAACCCCACATATCAATCATTCAATCAATCAACCATTGGTTATAAGAGACACCTCTGT